CACACACACACACACACACACACACACACACACACACACACACACGCGAGATATTATTATTGCCCTCGTTTCAAATCATCTTGCTTGCCCGTATACGACACATTTAAGGGATGTTTAAACTGTAGCTTTAACAAAATGGTTTCATAATCTCTGTGAACAGGCTCTGCACTAGTATGATACACTGACAGAGCACTTGTTTATCACAGTATAACACAAAGTCTGTTAAGCTTCAGGGATATCACTGTGCTGTTATGAATCATAAACCATTCTGAATCCATTTCAGCTGCTTTGGTGCAAACTGAAGTGATAACACTGTCCTCTCTTCATCCCTCCGGAGTGATGGCTACAGGCAAAATGGATTCACGATAGTTTATGCTGACTTTGTTTTTACTGTTAGGATCAAGTGTTTCTTTAATTTTGTTGGTGCAGTGCATAAGGAATTGGTTGCACATCGGTGTTATTCCTGATAGGAATTGTCAGGAAAAACGTGTTCTGTGTGTAGACAAATGAAAGAGTGGTTGGAATAATGTAATGAAGAGCACAGACATTCAGCCTGAATAAAAGGCTTCACCTGGGCCCTCATATGGCTAGTCCATCAAATCTGAGCTTAAGTAGCTTTAAGACTGTCATGTCTTTCTGTAATATTAAGTAGCAGGTTAAATAAACAATAGTGAAATTAAGTGATTGACACTGATATGACACGATTGCAGATTAGAAATACCGACACAGTCCTGACTCACTGACCTGGAGGAAGCGCTCCATACGGCAGGAGGAGTGTTCAGGTCCAGCGCCATCGTATCCATGAGGCAGCAGGATCACCATCCCACACTGCAGCAGCCACTTGGCTTCACCTGGAAACACGACAGTTTCACCTCTGATGAAATAATCTTTCTTTTTTTCTTTTTTTTTGACCAAGTTTATTAGAAAATGCGGCAGAGGGGTGAGAAGCTCACCTCCCGAGATGAAGGTGTCAAAGACAATCTGCGCTCCGTTAAAGAAATCTCCAAACTGAGCCTCCCAGATGGGCAGAAGCTTCGGCTGCGCGATGCTCATGCCGTATTCAAATCCGAGCACGGCCTCTTCAGACAGCGGGCTGTTACACACCTAAACACAAGACACCACAATTTGTTGTGTTTTTCATGTTGACACTGATGGTTTTATCTGCTTTGCGAGGGCATTACCTCCAGGAAACCTGTCTGCTCGGGGCTGATGTGATTCAGAGGGATGTACATGTCGTTAGTGTCCTGGCACACAACCATGGCATGCCGCTGACTGAATGTACCTCTTCCAACGTCCTGTCCACTGATACGGATATTAAAACCTGCAGTGACAATAGCTCGAGTTTAAAGGAAACCCCAGGAATTCCCAAACTGGAAATGAGTCATTTTTACTCACTGCTAAAAACACCAGACAAAACGTGACAAACCTTGGCAGAGGAGAGAGCCGAAAGCGAGGGCCTCTGCTGTCGACCAGTCTAGTTTGGTTCCCTCTTCCAGTTTCTGCAGCCGGGCCTGAGTTTACAAAAGCAAAATAATTTAACTGCTGTGATGTTTGGACAAGGCAACGCGGCAGAAGGATTAGAAGCAAAAGATCCCGGTACCTGTACGTGGGTTTTTCCGAGGTGGCTGTGCAGCTGGATTTGCTCAGGGATATCCACAGATTTCACTCCCACAAACTGCAGCAGAGGAATGGGGACACCAGTGTCCCAGGTGGTGACTCTAGCCTGGGGTTCAACAAGATCCCCCCAGCGGCCCTGCAGGTTGGTGGGTGGAGGGCTGTACAGGGTCATGTTGGACAGCTTGTCGTTGAGCATGCTGTAGTATTTGGTTTTGATCTCGTCACGCTCAACCTCTGTCATCAGACCCTCTGAAATCAGCTGGTCTGAGTAGGCGTCTGGGATGCTCTTTCGAGACCTGCAAGGAGCAAACAGGAGATGATCTGATTATTACCCTGTATTCTTTTAAATCAGACGCCCGAGATGGGACTGGGTGCAGACTCGAGCTTTAATTCAAGGGGTTCGACAAAAGCATTGCATTAACTGTTTGGGTATTACAGCCACCTTCAGATGCTCAAAACGAACTGGGCAGTTGACTAAGATGTTTATTTGTCCAGGTTAGGCCTGTTTATTAGTTCATAACAAAGTAAATAAATAAAAATCTGAAAGTGATTCAAAGTATACAAATTGCATTTGTAAATTTTTCACTTGACTTATTATGATGTTAAAGGAGGTTCAAGGAGATGCTGATGTAAGTGAATTATTATTATCATTACGGGCTGAAAAATTCAAATAAACCAATGAGAGAGATCGCAAAAACCTTTGGAGTGATCAAATCAAAATCCTGGTTTGTTCTTAACAAGAATGGCTATGCTGGCCAGCTCAGAAACACTAAAAGCTCTGAAGACAACTAAAGTGGATGGAGACATAATTCTTTCCTTGGTTAAGAAGCAGCCCTCTGCAGCACAGAGCCGAGTCAAGAACACTCACACGGAGGTAGGCGTATAATTGTCAAGGTCTAGCCTTGATGAATGTAATTACAGAGGGTTTACAACAAGGTGAAAAAACACTCGTTACAAACACAACAAGGCCTGATTAGACTTTGCCAGAAAACATCTAAAAGAAGATCGCACTGATGGGAAAAAAAAAACTTTTTTTGGACCTTTAAGTGATGGGAAGAGGAAATTATGAAGGAGGAGGGACAGATACAGAGATGATGTAATGGTATGGGGATGTATGATCGCCAGCGAACAGGACCGTTTCTGTGTATTAAGTAGCAGGATGAATTATGTATTGTACACAGCTGTACTGTCTGCTTTAACCACATGCTGCAAAACTGATGAGACAGAACTCCACAGTGCAAATAGATAATAACACAAAGAATACTGCAAAAGAAAGCAAGAGCTTCTCAAGACAAAGAAATGGGATATGCTTAAAAAGCCAAGTCGGTCACCTGATCTCAGCACAAACCGCATGTTTTCCAGTTACTGAAGACAAAACTGAAGGCAGAGACCCACAAACAACAGCAACTGAAGGCAGCTGCAGTGAAGGCCTGGCTGAGCATCTCAGTGACGGAAACACATCACCTCATGCCCAAGGATTTTAATCCCAGTAGTTCAATATGATGTTTATTTGTCCAATTAACTGTGAGCTTCTCAAAATTGGGACTTGTCTATTATAATGCAATTCCTAAACTGTTAAACCCCTTGAATTAAATCACATATCGACCGATTTAAAATGTATTGAGGTGGTGTACAGAGGCAAAATTAAAACAAAATGCATAAAAGAACTGACCCAAGAACTGCATCTTTAAAAAAACAAAACAAACCTAGCACCTTTTTTTCACTCCCCATGTGATTAAACAACACTCTTGCATTCACTTTAATCTCACTCTGGCAGTTAATGATTTCTCCTCTTTGTTGTTCTTCATCCATCTTCTCTTCCCCCTCATCCTCCTAACCAGTCACAGTGTATTGCTTCCCACTCCCTGGTCATGCTGGAGGTCGCTTCCTATTAAGAGAGTTCTTTCTCGCCACGGTCGCCAATTGCTTGCTTTTAGAGGCTCGGCTAATTGTTGCAGTTCTCTCTTTAAGGTTGCAGGGTCTTTAACATCCAAAGCAACATACTAAAATGACTGTTGTTGTGAGTTTTTATAGTTTCAAAGCACTGTAGTGGTTTAATAGTTGAAACACTACAATTCAAGTTATGCTTGCCTTTCACACAGAAATAAAAATTCCACAATTACCCAAATACACCATTAAACATCAGCCATTGCTACACGAGTAGACCCATCATGTAAATGCATCAGTGCACCTACAAGAATAATTCAAATCAAACTATCAAATCAAATCAAAGTAAAAGCGATAGCTTTAACTAACCGGATGATCTTGTACATTGCCGGATTGGTGAAAAAAGGCTCGTCCAGCTCATTGTGGCCCCACTGACGGTAACAGATCAGGTCCAGGATGACATCTTTCCTGAAGTGCCGCTGGTAGTCGACAGCCAGGCGAGCGGCTCGCAGCACCTCCTCGGCATCATCTCCGTTTACATGGATCACGGCAGAGTTCACCATCTTACCTGTAGAAGAAATCGCCCATTACACACATGATGAAGGTACCACTTTACAAAGTAAAACTGCACTAACCCTGGCTAATTTAAAAGACCTCTCAGATATCCTATTTCACCGTGTGTATCATATTAGACGCATACATGAAAATAATCCATATTCGAAACCCTCATGAAACTGTTTGACTTAGGCCTCAGGCTGCATGCTACACTCATTTTTAGCCCCATTACTTTGGATTTTTGCATAGAAACAAATGAAGCATCGTGTAATGTGAAGTGTTTTTTTAAACATTACTTTTTGGGCATTTTTGCCTTTATTGGATAGCGGAGCAGTGAAGACAGGCAGGTAGTTGCAAAGAGAGCAGAGGGCAGCAAAAGGCCACAGGTCACTCTCAAATACGGGCTGCTGAATTCTGTGGCCATGTGGTCACCCACTCGCCCACTGAGCTAAAGCAGCACCCCACTGATTCTTTTTCCTTCTCACCATTCATCTTATATGAAAACGTCAGGAGAAAAAAGGCTTTACTGGAAAGATTGCCTGACTAAAGCCTGCTATTTGATTAAGTTGAAACACAGTAAACACAATGTCAGGTCACAGGACATTTTGACATTCGCTGTACTAGGGCTGGGCGATATGACCCAAAATTCATATCTCGATATTTTTTTAGCTGGATGGCGATATAAGATATATATCTCGATTTTTTTTTT